TTGGATAAGGTTTGCCATATGGGCTCAAAGGTCTGGTGTCTCCATAATGTAGTATGAACTATATTGCATTATCAGAAGGCACTAAAGGATTCTTAGAGTGAGACTGATTATCTTGATTAACTTTGCCTCTTTACAGCTCAGGCATCCAGTGCAGGCTAATTGCCTACTCTGCCTCTAGTATTAGTCTTGGAGGAGGAAAAGCACCCCCTTGCATCCCACTGTCTTAGACAAGTAGCTTAATGGGTGGGAAGTCATGCAACTGCCTTTCTTGAGAATAATTTGCTAAGCCTTGGAAGCAGAAAACCTCTTGATCCTATGGCAGAACTTTATGGTCTGAGATTTATGGGGCAGTTTAAACATACAGTGTTTACAGCCAGTAAAGCTACAAAATAAGAGATGGTGTAAAGAAAATAGGACGAATAATTTCCTACTGGGCAGTCAGCATGTGAACAAGTTAGTGAATCTGGAGGCACTGTGGTGTCCTCTATGGCACAAAGCACTCACTTCCCTAGTAGCCACCGCATGTGTTCTCAGAATGACGTGGCACAATCCTACAAGGTATTTCAGAGAGCAGCACAAGGGTGGTGCCCTTGCAGAATGAAGCACACTGTTGTCTGGAGGCACAACTGGTCTCAGTCAAGACCTGATTTCATATCCTTAATAGCCTACTGCTTTTCTCCTCTCTGATTTGGCATCAGGTCTCTTGATACCGGTATGAATTGTGACTATATATTCTGCTGTGTATTTTGAGAGCTTTTTCTGAGCTACAGGTGATTGATTCCTGACCCAGAGCAACACCATAAGAAGTACTTGTCTTTACCTCGTCCGTGCTTGTGCTTGTTGTTGATGACGATTTGTACTATTGTTCCTGAAGCTTGCTGGGGATCCGGGAGGACTCCGCGGTTACTCCTGCCATTGGGAAAGCGTGGAATGTTGACTGCCTGCCTTGCAGAGCTGGGTGACAGGTCGTAGTGGGAACGGTGGTATGAGTGTCTCTGTTTAAGAGACAGAAAGAGAGTAGGAAAGTAAATGTCTTATTCCAGTGATCATGGGGAAAGAGGCTGCACTAGAAGCTTAACACAGACAACAAGTGTTGTCGCTATCATCAAACATCATTCACACATACATGGTTGTAACTCATCTCACAGACTGTATATGTCAGTGTAGGTGTCTTTATCTAAGTTGGTCATCTGAAGTCCTAAACTGAGTGAATGGACAGAGAGGCAGTTTTAGAACCTGACCTGTTGTGGAACTCTATATCATGAGGAGATGACTCACAACCCAGAAGTGCCTATTTCACTCCATGTATTAAAAATTATGTACAAAGCTAGATGCCTACTTTACTGATGTCTCCTCTAAGATCAGATGAGAAGAATTGTAAGCCTGTCTAGTTTTCCTCATCACAGTTGCTTTCTGCTGGGGCTCCAGTGTCAGAGTGGCTGTCCAGCTTGTTGTTTGCTTGCAGCTTTGAACTCTGACACAAGGCCAGTGTTAGGCTTGCACAGGCTGAGTCTTACAGGCTGGGAAGTCTCATTTTATTTGCAAAGAACAGTAGTATCAATAACAGTAGTAGTATTAGTAGCGTGCAGCGTGTTTTCTAGAGCAAAACCACTGGTTGTTTTCAGAAAATTATTTTCCAAAATACCCATGGGCATAAAGGAATATGTATTTTACAGCAGATCTTTTACAAGGCATGATTCTTCTCACTAATCCAAAGACCTGTTAGTTCATGTATTTAGGTAATGCACCTAATGCTTAAAAGCACTTCATATTCTCTCCAAATGTTGTTACAAAAATCATCTCTTGAGAAGTAAGTTGTTAATGGATACTCTTAGCCCCATGGGTAGTGAAGCCCCTAAAGTAAATATATACATGTGTAAATGCCAACTGGGAAGTAAGTGTTTGCAATTATGATTTAAAAGTGATGCCTGCATAGCAAACAAAACGCTGCAGAGTTTATAATTCTTATAGAGCATATACAACAAAGACAAAATCCAAAGCCTGCAGGAGCTCATGGGAGTTTATAATTCATCATTATTCCTGGATTCAGGCTGAGTCTATTAAGGGATTTGCTGAAGTGGAAGAAACCTATTTTGGGCTAGATTCAGAGAGCCCAGGATAAAGCCGTAGACCTGTTACCATGCTTTTCTATTCTTTCCCCAATGTACTGATGCACAAAGCACAGCAGGAGTCTGTCTTTAAACTGTAGGTCACACTTACGGCTTCCCTGTTGGCCGGCTGCCGGAAGATATCCCCGTCGGAATGTTCCCATGATAATTCTCCATCTCCTGTATGCGAAGCAGAGCAGGAGCAATTAGGGGGTAACCGTGCCACACCTTGGGAGATACTCAGGGGAAAAGTCTCATCCAGCTTTACAGCTAAATTTAAGGTGGAGGTTGCATCAAGGTGTAGAAGTGTCAGTCTTTAGTCTGACTTCATTGCACTAGATTCTGTACAGACCAAAAGGAAGATCTCTTCCCAAACATCATGCAAACTTAGGATGAAGATTTACTATCAGTTTTATGCAGCTTACCAAGATGCTGCGCACAAGGTGATTTCCAGCAATCATTCGCTGTGTGATCTCAGGCAAAGGTGAGAGACTTGGCCATTTGAAGCCTTGATTAATCTCATTCTGGGAATGCAACTTTATCACCAGTGCGTACTCCTCTTGTTTCAATTTAGGAACACAGAGGTAGCAATGTTCCCCTGCTGGCATTTCTGGTGGTTTAATTTCCCAACATGCTTTGGATTGTAAGTACATGGGAAACCTGCAGATTGTGTCCTGAGGGCCAGTGCTAGTGCACAGACAGGGCCCTGGCAGGGGAAGGAGTAAATTCAGAGCCTGTCCTTCTGTGGCTATGCTTGAACTTACCTCTGCAAACTGGACAGCAGGACTCCGGAACAGAAACTGGGAAAGAGCAAGTTAATTTGGGACAAGTCTTCAACCCACAGTACACGTTTCCTTCCTGCCAGTAGAACACAAGAACTTAGGAGGAGTCACTGATTTGCCTGGTACTGTGTATGCATTTTTGATGGATGTGCTTACATCTAGTATGTGTGTTTCCATAAATACCGCTCTAGTGGCACAAGCAGAGTATCAGCCCATTGAAAAGTCTGAATAGCTTTGTTAGAATTTGTTGTCACACAGAGGAAGATCCCTTTCTTAAAATAAAGCAGAGGCAAAGGGAAGAGGTGTAAGTGTGTGGGGAGAAGAACTGCAATTATTGTAGGCTGAAAATGTACCTGACATGGTTGGTACTAAATCACCCAGTGTAAATTCTTCCCCCTGCTCTCCCTCAGTTGTGTCTCACCACTGAACTGGAGGAGTAGCTCAGCAGTAACTTAAAGTTGTAAAGTCTTTTCAGTGCTTGGCCTGTTAATTTGTAGTTAAAGTTGAATATGATGATTTGATCAGAGGAGGTCACAGTTGCCAATACTTGATACTGAAGAGCTGGCTGGATTGAGAGGGATGTTCTGGTTCAGACACTGGCTCTGAGGAGTCCCTGGGTTACTGCTCAGACATCCAGGGTTTGAGTGGTGACATCTTGGCTCTGTGGCTCAGTGCCAGTTGACAGCGCTGTCCACTCTCAGCCTGTGGGGCTTTACTTATCAGCTGAGTCCAAATGAATTCAGTTTCAGGCATTGGCTTAGCACTGTGTTTTCCAGTCAGGTTGAAGCGAGATGTTCGATCTGTGCCAAGTAGCAATATTTTACCTTCTGCCTCTGCACTGTAGGCTCACTTAGAGCAGATGCTCAACAGGGTAAGCTTTGTCCACAGTGTTTGGGTAAGAGGTAGCCTGGCATTTACCAGGTACTGCAGACTGGCTCTGAACACTATGAGTTTCAGCATTAATTCTCAACTCCCAGCCTTTGCTATGTATTGCTTATATTTCAGTGTCATGTCTTCTAGAAAGGAGAAATGAAGCACAGAGAGAGCAGGGCTCTGTCGAACCATGTTACTTACTGAGCAGCTGCACTGGGCACACTGGTTTGCTTGCCTGTTTTGGAAAAGTCCCTCTGCCACAAACATTTCACCATGATGGTAGGTGGTGCCATTGTATTCACAGGATTTCCCGGTGATTTTGCTGCTTACTGAGAAAAGGGAGTCTTCTGGAAGGAACAGGAAAGGAACATTTCATGCAAATGTCCTTGACATCTGGCAATATCACAAGGAGGAAAATCTTCCCTTCTCCCTCATTTCTCTTTATTATGACAGGACAAGTTTTGTCATGCTACAAAGTGTAAGTGATATTCTCATGCTGCTATTTTGCTGCATGTTAATAATTCACACTTTGAGTTGACTGTCCCAGTTAATCTTAGGATGCTGATGATCAGCTGCAGTGCCAGCACTGTTTAGCTGATGTGTCTCATGCTGCTCTATTTTCTCTTGCTCTGCCTGCTGTAGCACTTGATATTAAGATAGATGGGTGCAGTTTTGTGCCCACTTATTACACATGGCTTTTTCATGCTTTGATGTTGAGGGCATTAGGTCTTGTATACATTATCCCACTATCACTAACACTGTCCTAGTGTGGTTTCCCCTTCTTAGTACTGGTATCATTTTATTAATGATTTGTGATGTTGTAGCCTATAGAAGACTTAGTTGCATGTTAGCAGGATGTGCCATAAGGCATGCATCATTCCATGCCAACCACAGGCGCAAACCTTCTGGAGGAGGAGCGTGGTACTGGTGAGGAAACTGCATCAAGAGGAAACTATGGACTACACAAGTGTTGTTCCTAGTGGCCTTCACAATTCATTGCTGCTGTTTTGAAAACGGGCAAAACCTGTCAAAGGCAGACTTCAAAAGCCACCCAAAAGCTGATTGTTCTCTGACATGCATTTTAATGTCAGATGTGCAAATGAGTGTATTTGGTTTGCAGAACTCCATGCGTATGACAAAGTGCTCAAGATGGCAGTGTCAATTCAACCCTGAAACCTCCTGTTTCAACTCCAGATCGAGGTCTGCACCACATGGGTTAAATTTCCTTCTAAGACATAAAGCTTTCCATACCTTTTGTTAAAACATCCCCTAGATTGTTTAACTATTAGCATTTGACAAACTGTGCAAAGGGATTATACTTCACCTATGAAATGTAAGTCACTTGATACCTATTGGGCAGCAAATCTGGCACTACACATTTAGATTCACATGAATTTAGCATCTCAGCATGGAAAAAGACATTTTGAACAAGAGCTCCATGGAAGTAACAGTGGAGTGTTTGTTCTCTGGAGCCTGAATCACTGCAGATTTCTAGGAATGCAGCTGAAATTTCATTCAGTGGGTTTAGGCTTTCATGTAAAAGAAACCTGACCTAAAAACTCAGGTTTTGCTGTAGCCCCTTTCATTACCTATCAGATAAACCCAGGGAGATTTTGCGTGAAACTCTGCCACCACAGAACGCACATTTTTCAGCTGGGAGCTCAAGTGAAAGAGCAGGTTTCTGCTGGCATGCACTGGCATTAAACACTGACATTTAGTTTTCCATAAAAGCATGTACTTAGTTACATGGGTCCATAAAATATTAATAATATTCTGAATGTCAAATCTGGCTGTGGAACATACATGTGCTACAGTATTTGAGAGTTGGTGGCACAGCGAAGAATGTTCTGCAGGAGCATGGCAGGAGAACGTAGCCACTTACGCTTCCTTGCCTGACACTTCATTTCTCTTCAAGGACAGTCATGGTATTTGCACTTCCTCCTTTGAAGCACTGAATACATCATTATTTCAGTCCAGTTAATGATACCTTTCCAAAATCTTACAGCTAGTACAGAGCATTGACACCACCTGTGCTTGGCATGGAAATGCAGTGCTTGTGGCACTGTCTATCTGGTTTGCTAGTAACATAAATTCCGGGATGGCAAGGTGTGTGCTCTAATCAGCACACATCCTTTGACTGGCATTGGCAAAAGATTCAAGTCACAAGTTTAGCTACTGCCCCATCAGGCCCAAATACTGGAAAACATGAATAAAGAGGCACTTCTCAGGACTGTGCTTATGCCACCAGAGTGTCTTGGGCTTTCCCAGAATCACCTCATGGAAAGCAGAAAGTGAGATTGCCAAAGCCTTAATTACCCCCTTGCCCCTTGGATAACTGGAAGAGCAGCAAAACTGGAAAGAAATGTAAATGGAAGGAGAATACAGTGGTTCTTGTCTGGGTGCAGGGCCCTGTTCATGAAGCCTCTGCAGGACATGGCTGTGCCCATGTGGGACACAGGTCCAAAAGCAGTGTTTGGCTTGTGGTCTGACATCTGCAAAGACCAATACCTGAATGATTCATTGTGGCTCTTCAGAGCATTGGATGAAGAGAGTAAATTGTACTGCAGATTTACCTTGGTATATGCCACAATGCTCAGTCCATTAGGAAATCACCAAATGCCTTTAAATAAGGGAAGGAGGATGGTGAAACTTTTATTGCTTGGAAAATGACAGTGGGGAGTTGCAGCAGGTAATTGTTTTCATCTTTTTTTCTTTTAAGTTGATCATGGAAGTTAGGCCTATAACAGCTAAATCATGACATGCAGCCCAAAACACATGGACATCTGCCTATCTCTGGAAATCAGTTACAGGGAATAAGACCGTGGTTGAGGTCCTGTGCTGCACATACCTGTGCAGATGATTAATCCTTTAGTATATGAAGTGAATGGGCTATTTGGGTGCGTAAAAGAAGGTTTAGGAGAAGTTTTCAGATCACAACCACATTACCATTACTGCAAAAGGATACATACATTCATATATCAGAAAGAGCATATTGGAGAGCATGACTGATCTCTGCAAACACAGCATCTGTCAGAAACTGCAAGGAAGCTCTGTTTATATTTTATGTCTAAATATAACTTCTGTCTGGTGCAGTTTGTCTGTCTTTGCCAGTGGGTGACTGACTTGCTACAACTAGGCCTTGCCTTGGTTTCTTTTCTAGTGCTCTTTAAATCATGGCTAATTAGAGGAGTTCAGACTCCCTCCTGATATCATATTCTCCTGTAGAATGTGAAATTAGAGTCATCGTGGATTGTTTTAAGAAGTGCCAGGTTTGAACTTTGAAAAGTCTTGGCATTAATATTGCTATCAGCATGCATTATCCTGTGCCTTAGTTAAGATACGTTAGAAAGCAATTAATGAACTGCAAATATACTGCCTTGCTCAAAGCGGTATTTGTGAACCTTGCTTCTTAATCAGGAGTGTTCCCAAAGCTTTAGCTGGCATTTTAATGGTGCTGACTAACATTGCTTTAATTAGCTGCCTCTGGAAAGCACCAGGCAACCCATCTGTGTGAATCCTGTAATTAACTGGGTTCAATCTGAGCTCTTTGTGGCATTCACAGCGTGTCAGTGGAAGCAGTATAAAACAGAGAGGGTAGAGCTGTTATAGCATCAATCGAAAAGGAAGTATCTTTCTTTCTATAGTTGGCATTTATTCTCTGAGGGCTCAGACTTCAGTGTAGAGGTTGACAGGCCATGCCTGTATTTGCCTGAAGTTTCAGTGCCATCAAGATAAGACCATGAGTTAGCAATATGGATAGCACTGGTTTATCTCCAACATTAGCATTAGGTAGAGGCAGGGGGATAAGATGTGCAACTCAGGCTTCGCATGACTTGATATGAACGTATCCTGTGAGTAGCTTTAAACCTTGAACCTGGCTGAAGAAATCTTCCAGGCAGGCAACAGAATACAACTGATTCAAAAATGGATTAGCTTCAAAAGAATAGCTTTTTTAAAAGCAAATGGAGACTATGGTGACTATGCTTGAATTTATACATCCAAGCATTCCTCTCTTCCAAACACGGGATTCTCTCCAGCTTCTGCTGTCTATCTAGGCTGTTTTTCACTGGCATGCCATACACACAAGGTAAATCCTAGCCTCAGAGAAGCCAATGGAAAGGTTTCCTTCAGGATTCAGCCTAGGGACTTGCTTGAACACTGTTGGAGATGGATGCTTGTACTAGGAGGAACTGTTGATCTATAAAACAAGATTCGTATCAGTTCAGATCTATAGTACAGCCTGATGCAGAGGTTCAGTGCGACCTAGAACTGCATGTAGGAGTGGTTCCTACAGTCCATTTGACAGGGGGTGTGAAGAAACAATATGGCAAATGTTTGCTGCGAAGGACTGTTAACGTAGTGTGAAGTGCAGCATTAATGCTTTCCTGATAGGCTGACAGAGGTAGGTGTTAATTTGATAAACCCTGGACATTTCATGGAGATCTGGTTCAGTGGAAGCTGCTCCAAGCACACATTTTTCATGGGAACCTGCCTGGGTTCCTGTTGTTCTGCCTATGACGTGAGGTTTCCAAGGGCCAAGGTTTGAGGGCATCCATACTATGTACACAGACCAGGGCTTTCTGGCTTCTGGAGCTTTCCAGTCTCCTGGGAGAAACAGATGCTGTGTCACATGGATCACAGTCAGTTTGGGAAACACCATCTTTTAGCAGTTTCTCTCTACAATTGTATTCCTTCCTGAAGTGTTATAAAAGCTTGATTCTTAGCTGCTTTACCCCTACTTGCATATGTAGCAGAAGGGCATCAGTTATCTGCAACTAGTCCCTGCAATAGCTTAGACAAATTCCATGGGCAGCTCCAAATGTTTGAAACCAGGTAGCTTCTGTAGAAGTATTTATGTGCAAAGAGAATGAAAAGCAGTAACTGGCTCTGAGCAAATCAGCCTTTGGGAAGTGTGGAGTGACTTGCTTGAGGAAGGGCTTTAAGATCCAGGCCTTACTATAGTCAATTAAGTCTTCCACTTGGATCCTTCTGGATAAAGGCAGGAGGTGCCAGTACAATCACAAACAAACAGTTTTAGGACACTAACAAACCAACTGTCAAAATCACCTTAGAATCAGTACAGTTGTGGCATGATAAGCAGTAAAGTATTTATGATGTGACATCTGACCTTCAAGACAAGAGAATCAGTTGCTTTTGGGTGGTCTTTGACATCATAGACAAGGAGACCAAGCATCCAAGAGTCATTATGCCAAGTTTTACGGATCTGCATCCAGTAATAGGTTGAAGTGGTAACCCAGTGTCCTTCTGACATGGAGACTGGACAGACTGGAGGAGGAAGGTGGGCAGGCAGAGCTCATGCTGCCGCGACCTCAGCAGTGTCGGGAAG